ACGATAGAGAAGGGATGTCTCGCAACCATCTTAGTGTAAGACAGGGCGGCCGTAGCTGTTAGAACAGTGATTTCACGTCGAAACCGACCACAAGCCTTTGGAATGAATTAAGTCTGCCAAAAACCCCATGGGAAAGCTAGCGCGATGGGCGCTACACTTAGGGGAATAGGATTTCATGAGAAACCACGTGACGGGGAAGGAGAACAAACTGAGGAAGATGACCTGGCGAGTGTGGCTTTTGGTGTTAATGGGATACTGTTTGAGCAGGATCCGGGACATTTGGCAGCCGAGTAACATAGAGACAAACTCTTGCGCAAAATGATCACTGCACGAATAACCGGTCAATCAGTCCTACACGAAAGCCAGCTCAAGCAGCTCGGACTGTTTGCGAGGAAGCTTGAAAAGCTACCAGTAACTGAAGCGGGGATCCTGATGTGGATACCTAGAGGTAGCAACACTTCGGTGCCGGTTATTCCGAAGAAACCAAGAGGGAGGCTGGTAATTTCTTGTCAGGAGATGGCGCACACCGGTTGTTCCAGGACCTACGATCTGCTGGAAGAACGCGCCTATTAGGCGGGATTGGAGAGGTAAGTCGAGACATACGTGCTTTCGTGCAAGCCATCAGTTCTTGAGAGCCGACTGCCGAGGAGCTCAGCAACCAGTGACTTCGATTTCGGTACCGGAATTTGGTGAACTATGGTCGATCGACGTGATGGGATCGTCTTCACTGACCAGGCGAGATAACCGATACATCTTGTTGATGACGGAGCACTTCACGCGCTGAATTTAAGCAACGGGAATATCGGATCAATGGGCGACCAGCATTACTCATGCTGTCATGAAACCTTTGATAGCGGATCACGGAATCTTAAAGGCCATATTAACAGATCAGGGTCCGTGCTTCTAGAGTGAGGAATTCCGGAAATGCTTGGAGAAACGTGGTAACAAGAAAGTGCGGACAACCCCATACCACCCGCAGACCAATGGTTTTACGAAGCGTAACAACAGAACGAGTGAAGAGTGGCTAGAGGCAAACAGTGGAGACTGGAAGCAAGCTTTTCCAATGCTTTTGCTGACCAAGCAAACATCTGAACAGGGTTTCCCAAATAAATCACCACTCCAACTGATGTACAGTCGAGCACCTCGCCTACATGTGGATCTAGAGATTGGAATGTGGCCAACTTGCCGAATACCTCCCAGAGAGGCACAGGATAACAGGAAATCAGCAACCCTAACCTGAAAGCAACTCAGGCGAAGAGAATGAAGAAGTCCCAGACGAACAATGGTGAGATTAATGTCGTATTTCTGTTGGATTCGAAGGTGAAATACTGGGAGCATCAATGCGCTCCCGCTTGTGGCCCAGAGGAGAGGAAACTCATACCGAAGTGGAAGGGACCGTGCGCGATGGTCAACTGGTGCGGCACAGTGTATACAATGGCTCGGCAAGGAGATTCACGGCAAGTAGATCTCAGTGAGTTGAGAAAGTGGCACGAATTAGAGGAGGAACACCCTTCACACAGTGAGCGTCGACGGTCAGAAAATCTCCGAACGATGGCTGCTTAGGCGAGCACTTTGGAGAGGGATTAGTGTGGTGGACTAAAGGCAGACACTACTGTACCAGTTATCAGTGGTGTGGTGCAAGGAGGTGAAACGGCAACCAGCCAACACCACGTCGTAATGACTCCCCAAAAGGAAAGGAACACTTGCGCATGAGGAATGGACGCATAAGCTGTGCATACCACATAACTACTAGACACAGAAAGAAACCCGCGCCATGTAATCTCCAACCGGGATGACGAAGATGGGTGGAAGCATCATTTGTCGGAACGGTGCACTTGCTAATAGCTTTGTTTTCAAAGTGAATATTCATTTGCACCTCGCGTTCTTACAGACACAGTTTGGCTGGAATGCCGTGGCAATTTCGTCTCCTCAAGTGTGAGCGGTGGAACCCTCGCCCAAATTGTGTTGCGTCTACCCCCCGATCTACGACATTTACAGAACGACTCGACGACGCATTGTCTCATTGGCATTTCATTTTTGTAACCTGTGTTTGCCAGTGGGCAAATAAAAGCAGACAAACGGTGTGTTTCCAATATCCCAACTGATAGATTTATGGATTTATACTTTTATCACGTTAGCATCTCAGCTTTTCTACACATATTTATGGTGAGACCACCAAGATGGTTTTCTCTTTACCATGACATTTTGTTTTCTCCATGATTTTCATGCCACGGAACTTGTCGTGCGTTGCTTTTTTACCCTAGTACGCCATTGTTCCGTTGTACTGTTTCACTAATATACGTTACACAGTTTGTCCATTCGTTTGTGACCGAACTTTGAAGCAGGGAGTTTTCTGGCCAGATGATAGTTACCGGATGAATATGATCCTTGGAATAATTGGTCTTCCTACTTCAACACGGTAGCTAACATCCATTTTGGGCGAAAACATCGAAGCAATCGCCAACGCGACTGTGACATAGATCTATTGAGCTGGTTACCATGGATGGAATTCCTTCGGAAAGTGTTTCACAACAAAAAATCACTAAGGCACGTCAGCTAAGTTGCTGGATAACAAAACCTACGTGCCCAACCTTGCATACCGGACACAAATGAGATTTCGTAATTCATGCCAGCACAACATCCTAAATGCCTAATTAATTCCCAATAGTCGCCACAAAGATACTTCACGTTGTCTATTAGTTAAGCTTTTAGCTATCGCAAAAGAGATGACGGGTTCTTATCCAGACTGAGCAACTTTTCTGTAATGACCCAAAAAAGCAGAAACCGATAACACAACGCAACAACGGGAAGCCGTTTACTTGTAGCATTGGTCTATCGCTGATCAAAGTGTAGCCATCAAACCCCGTCAGATAAAACTGACAATCTTTAGGGGAAATAGGCAGGTAAGCGTATTCAAAACAACCATGTAAAAGTATTGCTTTAAGGAATAGTTTACGTTTCACATGCAACACTCGTCCCTCTGGATTTTTAATTCACTTTAACGCCATTATACTAATACGTTTGTCATAGCCAAACTACGAATAGGAATAGGTTTCACAAGGTAAAATCTCCATGACAAATGCTTAAGGTGGAACAGGCAAATCGTTAAAATATTAATAAACTCACTCCGTCTTGAACGCATTACACCCACAACATCAAACGTAGTGAGAAATGAGCTCTTAGGTATTATCACTTTGACAACATTGGCTAGAGTAAGGTGAGCGTCTTTGTTTTCCGGATTGTGACTGTGCAATTTCAGGTTAATTCCTACTTCTGTTCATGTTGCCAGATAAAACCAAACGTCTGAAACCTGCATCTCTAGCGGATGCACTCTCACCCGTGCATGTGGACAAAAATTTTGGCCTTCTAATCCTGGTCACGGTGCCAAGTGATAAAGCGCCATGGGCGATAATGGGGACAGTGTCCAAATGCAAATCCACCTGGCATATCCATCAAAGGGAGCATTAATATGTTGTACAACTAATGACAGTCTTTTTTGCTACCATCAATTCTGGGGCGTTATTGCAGACACTGATATGAACGCATTCGACTGATCCACTACAGGCATTACATTGATGAACTTCTTGAGAGAGGCGACAATGTAGATAGACATATATCTTAGTTCATTGTCCTTCCGGGCTCGGAACTGAGATGTTTATGTGAAGCATATGGGTTGGTAACACTAGGGTAGGCAGTGTTGAATGAATTATATGCTTACATAAGTTGTGTAGCTCTCAAACAATACAGATAGATGCGTTTGGATTTACGTAGGCCACCAGAACTCAATGACTGCGTCCAATCCATTAAAATTAAAGAACTAACGATCATACCAGACGTTCATAAGACTGAACTGTGACTACGCATCCACCTTTGGGGCAAGTGTTAATGAACAGTAAACTCAGGTATCACACTCCTGGATTTCCTGCTAGGAGACTGCTGTGGGACGAAGCTAAATGAACTTATCGAGGTGCACTGCGGCGATTCCACTTTGAGCTGGAAAATGCTGTGCGGTAGGGTTTCAACTAACATGGGAGTTTCCAGGACCTCAACTTGATAAGGTCACTGAAATGAGTAAGTTCATATCGTTGGATGTCATTTTACCTGGTCACAAACGCGGAATGTTGGACTGATCGGAGCGAAGTCATTTTATATGCCAGGCACATTGTGGCTGCTTATTTCAAGCATTGTCCTCTCCCTCTTACATCTAGGATGCAGCTCCACAATGGTTGCAAGACATTTTTCTTTGGAAGAAGGTCATTTGTGTATGTCGACAATAGCTGTTGTTTTTGGTTAAGGCATATCATTGACAAAAGCAGATTAAGTACCCCAAACTCAGTGTCTAATCATGGCCCGTATCATGCTTAAATTCAGTATTCAAACCTACAACTTTCTCTTTGAATGCCACCGTTGTTTAATTTCCATGCTTTTTAGCTTATATCTTCAGTGTTTGCGGAATAAAGTACCAGAGGATTTAGAAGATATCTAAAGCATTAACTCGCGACTTTTAAGTGCTAAACACGGGTAGCTCTCCCTTTATTTTGTACAGACATTTTGATATGTGTATAGCATTGCAACTGCACTTGACTAATCTGCAAATCTTTTGCTGTATTCTAAGCCATTCCCAAGCGATTATGTGAGGCAGTTTGCATATTTTTGACTGCTCGGAACGAATACTGAGGCCAACATCAACTTGACAGACTAAAGCATTCCATCCTGCCAGTAGCCGATTTGTTTCCACTTACCAGATGATCTTTGCACCAGGAAGTTTAAGAATAGTCGACTTATTCGTTTCCACTCGCATTGTGAGAATCAAAGTAGGAGTAAAGAGGTTAAGTCTCCCGATTCTCATGGAAAGTGTAAAGCTTTTCGTTCAACTATCACGACGTGGCTATTCAATTGTGCTAAAGTTACGGTAATTTATGGAAGCTTTTCATCTCTGAAGACACAAAGTAATGGTGTCGTTTAGGGTTTTCAACCAAACGGATTTAGAAAGTACTCACTGTAAGGTTTGTGGCCAGGTGTGAAAACTGTCTATCCGGTCTCTGTTCCAAAAAATCGAAGAAACGCGTCCAAAGTTGAGCGACGAAGAAGAAGTTGTCTCTTGGAGTGGACGCCATGTCAGACGTTCTGAAGGCGCCGCTTGTTAGCTGTGGACGTACGTAACCCACCTCCTCTGTTAGACCTGTTGCATTTTTGTTTGCGTTTGCTCGTAGTGCGGCGAAAAGTAAGCCCGGAGGTGGAGGCGCCTGGGAAATTAAGGACAGTGGCGTATAGCGGTGGTAAGAGGTTCCGCATTTTCGCAACGCATGGTTTGCAAAGGAGCAAGAATTATGACTATGTATATGCGACACGACCACCGTTAAAATGTGCCATGTCAAGCAGATGAGCAATTTCCTGATGTAGCATGTTACCTTGTTTCAATATGATCATTACTTTTAGGGAGTGCCTTGCACAGTCGAGAATCAACTTTATTCATTTAGTTATTTACATCCGGGAGAGCACAGCACAGCAAACCGTTAGCAAGCGTCCCGCAAAACTGAGTTGCTAACGGAGAGTAACGTCAGTGGTTTTCCCCGCTTTCCTTGTCAGCTCGCAGATAGCTATTTTTATTCACATAATTTGCCATTAAGAAAAGAGTCAGGTGTTACTTGCGGCAGTAAGAGTAACCCAACAAACTGATCTCATGGTAACAATAGTGAGTTTCCTGACTTCATTGGCAAGTCCATCATAATCCCTTAAATTAAGAGAGCGGCTGAAATGTGGCTCAGCAATTTACTTCCATTTTCGAGTTCATGACTTTGTCGCAGCTTTTGTGAATTTGTGCCGATGAATCTAATGTGTTGAAGTTGCAGTACGAGGTTTCCTCAGTACATTGTAGATAAAATGATACAAGCTTTCTACTTGATGATAGCCAGTTGTGTTCGGAAATCAAAGTGCTCTTCAACAGCTGCACTGCCTCTTACTCGTACCAGTGCCCTAGCTTGGAGAAATACCTTGTTCTCCGGGTTGGCCTCTCCATTCAAACAAGCAATTGATACCAGTTCTGAGGTAGACATCACTATCCCGTACGAGCAAACAAACTGTGTGAAGCGGGATACAGTGCCGCTGATTCTCAAGAGAGCACGCAGTGGCCTGAAGATATCCTCACTTTACCCAACTTCCTTGTGCAGCGAGCTAACCAAAATTACTATCTCAGTGTGCGCCTAGGCAAGCGGTGGATTCCTCGGACCCAGTGTTGCAATTGTGCTTCTGAATCCTGGGAACCGCATACACATGCGCACACGCGGATACACACACGTTGCCACAGTCTCACCCTCTGCGCGACTATTGCCTGTATCACGCAGTCTTCCCTTACAAATCTAGCGTTAAGTCCTACCGGTACCGCGGCACCTTAGTACTCCCTGTTACTCAACATGTGCCCTGGTAGCAACAGTCGGTGGTTGGACGCATACACCAAATTTATTAGCATGAGCCAGTAGCTCCAGTAGAGCTATCCACTACCCCACAGACGTATGAAAATAAGTCGAGTTAACCTGTGCGCATTTCGATGAGTTTAATAAATCAGATGTAAAGCACAAGATGTTTGAACACTTGAGAAATTTGCCGAAGGGGTCCTTCGCTCGATTAAACATCGGCCATCCGTAAGAAACTCGGGGTCACTGGCCCGCTCCCAAAGGAGAGAGAAAAAGACTGGTTCGGATTAGCAGAGGAATTGCAGTAAATAGACAATCATATGGTTGGTTGGCGGCATCCGATTTCGGATTTGCCTGTCACTGTGGCCAACCGCAGGACGCCTGCACCTACAGAGGGACCATGGGTAGCTTGCGCTGCACCACTCGCAGCTCCAACCACACACCACATATCCAGTGTAAACCCGAAGGAATAAGATCCAGAGGCATGTGGATGGGAGCCACATTTCGTCAACCGAGCCGGCCCACACTCCTTCACAGGCAAACACAAGCACACTGTATTTGGGAATCAAGCGCACAGAAGGCGGTGGCTGGACCGTAGTCCGCTCCACACTGAGTGCATGGAACCACTCTTCGAGCTCAGCACGGCCTCAAGGACCGTGCACCCCGTCCCCTCCAGCAACGACCAACTGTCTCCTGGAGTCAGTATGGACGAGGTAGTGGGTAATAGACACGTAGGCACCTTGTCAACATGAGCATCAGGCGCAGCCACATTGGGGATATCAAGCAACAGCCAATTAATTGAAACGACAAGATGAAATAAAACAAATCCAATAATGCATACAGATACGGTGGCATAACTTTTCGCTAAATTAGCAAATGAAATAAGTCGGTTAGCGACGAATCCGCGATGAGGAAAAGAGCTCCACAAGTTGGTTAAAAATGCTACAAACGCAACAAAGTTATCCCAGATAAGCGCAATTAGTGTAAGCAACGTGGCCAGTTAATAGATTATTCAGGTAGGTAGAACAAAGCAAATAAAATGGAATGAAATTTAGCCAGCTTAAAAAGACCTAGTTTAAGTGTAAGTTGGTTTAGCCGGACTGCGGTGAAGACGCATCAAGAATGCAACTTCAGCCTCAGGCTAGGGCATAAATAGACAATCACACCGTCATATACGAAGGTCAAATCGAACTTTCTACACCTCTAGAAGAGTCAAGTTAGGACCAATCAATCAATGCCGTTCTCATAATTATTGGCCGATTCAGCCAGTTGGCCACATATTCGCCCAATCCGTGCGGGACAGTAGCGGCTCACCCGCCATGCTTTGGCTCCCTATCGACGATCGTCGCTTCGGCTGCTTGCCTAGAGATTTCCTTCCTAACATTTTCTGCCTATACATATTTGAGAATCACCACGGAAATAATAGGTAGCACTTGATTCCGAGTTATGTATTAAGCTTTTCGGTGCGATGCGCTCAAGTAATAACGACAGAATATCCCCATCCACAGAACTGACCCCACCCCGTTCAAGGAATTGCGTGCATTTCAAATCAGTGACAACCCAAGGCTTAGGGAATCCCAAAAGAGCGTTGGCCTTATAGGACCCTGTGACTGTCGTACTGCTATGATTTGATTACTGCACATTATAATGTTAGCTTAGGTTCGTTGAATTTCAAAAAGATCAATTTGAGTTTACGGTGGCTAAAACACGATAGACTGTTGGGATGAGTCGCCGCTTGATTTTAGTAAGCGAAGTTAAGCTTCTGTCCTTCAAACTATACGTCAGCCCATTAATAGGATAATGTGCCAACACTTTTAATAGCATTTGAAGGTGCAATGCGAGTGCAATAGAAGCTGCACAGAAGTCTATTATGAATAGGATTGTAGACTACACCTCTACGGTATGCGTAGATTTTTCCAAGGCATTCGACAGGGTCCATCACTTCGTTCTCTTCCAAAAGCTTGCTGTCTACGGTACCAACGGCTCGCTGCTCACCTCTTTGGATGATCACCTACAAGACAGAACAATCAAGGTAAGGATAGTCACCACTCACTCCAAATGGCTATACGTATTCAGTGGTGTAGCACAAGGATCCGTCCTCGGTCCGCCACTGTTTTTAGTCTACATTAATGAGATTCCAGCAGACATTCTATCCCTGATGGAAATATATGCACACGACGCTAAGACATGGAGAGCTATTCTCTCAGCATCCGATCGGACAGGATTAATGAATGGGCAGAAAGGAATCAGCTCCCACTGAACCCTGCAAAGTGCCATCTGCTGACGGTGCGTAGCAGCTTCAGCAACATACATCTTCTGGGACAGCACGTTATTCAACATGTGACTAGTGAACGAGACTTAGGTATCGTCGTTCAAGAAAGTTTTGGCAATTCGCTTTAGTGCTCGGAAGCAGTGCATGTAACGAAATTGAACTTGAGACTTTTGACGCGAACTATCGGCACCTTTAAGCGACCGCTAGTACCACTGCTGATCAATAGATATTTTCGTCCCCACACTGAATATGTGGTTCAGCCCTGGCACTCATTGTTAAAACGAAATATTTGTCTTGGAGCAACCCCAAAGAACGGCTACCAAGGCAATGGGTGGAATATCCGCTCTCAGTTATGAATTGCACCTTTGTTTGCTTGGTGACTGCTCCTCAGAATACCGGCGGCTTCGCGGGGATCTCTTTCTCACATACCGAATACTAACTAAAAGCGAGCACCCATGTACATCACGGCTGACCCTAACCACTTACAAACAATGTCGATGCCATCACCTGAAACTAGTGACGTAACACTCCCGTTTGGATGGTAGCAAGAATTTTTACTCTTCGCATCTATTCCCCTCGGAATGCACTATCAACACATGTGGTGAAGTCACCAGACATCGCGACATTCGAGAAACGGCTAGATTTTTATCTCAGTGCTAAACCGTAGACAACTGTGTGAGATAGTGTGGTGAGTTTACTACTGATTGTTCACGTTCCACGTTGGAACATTTTTGATGTCAATGTTAACGTGAATTTTTCATCCTGTGGGTCTGCTACACTTATGCTTTTTCTTCCATCACCCACTGGTGAATTAGTGAACTGTTATAAAGCTACTGGCGATTTGTTGACTACCGAACCGCTGTGGCTTCGAACATTAAAGCTGTATTTATGTCAGCCATCCAAAAGTGTCCATTGTCTGATATCCACTAGTTACTATCATTCGATATTCCAAGAATCTTCACCGTATTACTTAAGAAAGAAAGACTATGGGATAAAGCTATCTCGTTGTCGCACGCCTGTACGGCACAACACTTTTACACATAAACATACTACGCTGTGGAACTGATTGCTTCATGCTATTAGAAGTTCCTCTTCGTTTCGAAGATTTGAGATGCAACGAACAGAGTACTTATAATAAAATTAAATGACAGTTTCGTGTCAGTTTCATAGATAAATGTGTGTACGAGAACGAGCCAGATGACATCTATGCACTTGCGAAATTTGCAACACAAAATACAGGTGAAAGTGAGGAGAAAAGCTTGGCGACACAACGGTAATTACATTGTTTTATTATGAGTTTTTCTTGCTAGATGACTTAGCTTTGCATCTCATTCCTTGCTCCTACATTGTCACGTACTGCGGTACTACTCAAATTGGTGACCAACCACTGGCCTGTAAAACATAGATAAATGTGATTCATCTGGATTTTCGCTTTACCTATACAGTTATATTAATCGCGTTAGTCAGATTGATGGCTTATTGGTAGCTTTTGAAAACATGGACATATCGATGAATTAGATAGCTAGGATTTATCCTAGACTTTTTCATCATCTACACTGTTTCTAACTGTGTTGTTACTTAGTTTGAAGACCTACTGATGGCACTTGAAAAACTTGTGCACATTGTTGAGTTGGATAAGCTAGCTTTTGCAGCCTTCGTGTTGTGCTTCCTTCCACTTACACAACTAGATGAAAAGCTTGAGGGTCTGAAATTCATGGACGCACTGAAAGAGTGGCTTTTTGATGCAATGCAGCTAACCCACCCAATCTATGTACGTACTTCCAGTCGCCCTGGGTTATTAGGTTTTACCGCTTTTATGAGATACGTCGTTAATTTTAATTGCTTTATATGTTTCATGATGGATACTGTTCTCAGTTTAACTTTTTATCGTTAAACCGCTATCTTGTCTGCTCACACACTATCACTATTTATAAATTATTATTATTTTCAAAAATTATGAATTTTGTAATTATATTTTCCATGTGCATATTCTCACTCACCTCCTTAAACAGTGTTATTTTGTTTTCTTTTTATAACCAACCGCTTGAAGGCATCTAAATAATTTGCAACTGTCGTAAATGCCGAAGAATTTTGCAACGCAATCAATGGTGCGGGAATCGATGAACATGGAATCATAAGTGTTCCTGTCCAACAATTTTGTAAAATCAATGTACATCTCTTTCGTACCTTATGATCGGGCCAGCTTAGCTGGGACTTGTCCCATCTAGAGGAAAATATAACAATTTGATATCTCTTCTGTGACAGAGGAAACCAATGGACAAGCCTTCACAGGCAACACACATTGCAGTTTTTCGCGTAACCCAATTCCTTCATTTACCGTCTTGTCTGGTGTTGCCTAGCGAAGTTCCTGAACAAATGGTGGTATGATAGCTGGACCCTAATTTTTACAGGTGGCCGACTCAATTTGTTCGAATAGTACCTACGGTACCCAACTCAGAGATGAGGTGGGTGGAAACAACTGTTGTGGTAACCGCTTCATTAAGTGTCTTAATTTGGGTTTCTGTACAAATTACAATATAGTACGAAATATTTCAATAAGCAAATGATTCCTAAATCCCTACTGCCATTCGAAATGGCGGTGTATTTAAAGTTGTACCTATCAACCCGATGCTTACTTCATCGGAATTCTTCTTAAGTGACAACTAGCAGACACTACGGCAAAATAAAATAGTCCTAGTCTGTCCATTCCACAAATGAAAATGCGCTAACCGTTAACGGTATAGATGGAACACATAAATGTCACCTGAATCGCAGAAGATATTGGAGTTGCATGGAATTAATCCAGGAGTAGTAGTTAAACTGGATCGCAAATTGTGTGTTTTTTTGGCTAAAGTCCGGGAGACACGTAGTTGCTTTGTCGGTCTGCTGATTGTTCAGGCCGGTACCACACTCTGTATGATGTTGAAAAGTCCTTCACTGTTTGACCAGAAAAGCAAAGTTAAGCAGTCGTTTAATAGGTTGTTCTGTCGACTTTGATGTGCGTGAGCGCCTTTGTTCGACGAACTCAAACTTTTGATAACGACTTATTTAAGTTATATACTTGTGTGGGAATTCAATAAGCTGGTCACTTAACCATCCCCACTGTGATTCTATTGGGTGGTGCCTGTTCGACTGCCTTTCGCGCTATCAGGGCTAAAGTGGATCTTGAGGTGCTTTTGTAAATACCACCTATCTTCGTGTATTGTATGCGTGCAAGAGTATGGCACTTACCAGTCCGAAAGGCAAGTAGGGGTAAAAGTAGGGCTCTGCAGGAGGGGATACTCCGCTGGTAGAGTAAGTAACAGGCGAAGACGAAGATGCCCCAGTCGATGCAGGCTGGCGGTTGATAGAATACATGGCCTCAAACTAATGTTGAACTGGGAACCAAACATCCAACTCGAGTGCTCAGCACATGAGACACCATACATCGGTTTCTTCGCATGAAAAGCACAAAAGTAAATGAAATGGCATTCGTATTTAAGAAGCAGGAGCAAAACAGGCTATGATAGGACGATGTTAATGTGGTACCAAATGATGACAACAAAACCAAACAGAAAGCATGCTATTATGACTGTTTTTCGTCCTATAATGCTTCAGTGACTCTCAAACCCAGATGCTTTGTTGCAGCGAATTTCGTCACCTATTTGTAAGCAAGCATTTTCGCGTTGGCCAGCAAAAGGTGGAAAGTGAAACAAATGATTTAGACGTTTAATCTATGGGAATCCCAGCTATTCTCGTTTTCACCAAATGTCCGTCCAAGCGCTAGGTATGGTTGCCAAACAGCTTCATTTCCTTATAGGCTCATGCTACTGTTGGCTGCTTGTAGTGCTGCCTTCGACAGTTGCACGATCACCGTCTCTTCACCAAACGAACAAGCTGATATGGTCGTAGCTAATCCACCTTCCGGAAGAACACAGCCGTCTGTGTTTGCAGTGATGCACCTAGGTAGGAATACTAATAGTTATACTGGTTTTCTGTCCTGTGAAGCCAGCTTCTTCCATTAATCTACCGTATGTTCTAACATAGCATTACGAAGTTAGAACTTTAATAAACTCTTTATTGTTATGCATAGACGGTGAATTATGAAGTCAAACGAGTGCACGAATAAAACAGCATGTTTCATTGTGTTTATCAAACAGTCTGCCCGAAAATCCCCAGTTTAACTAGATAGTCTTCTTGTAACATTGAGCTGCATACTCATGCATAATTAGATCCACGTTTTGTTCTTACCCACCTGATAGGTAATATATGGCGCCGTCGAGTTAAATGGCTTGAAGTGCTCCATGCGATTAAGCAGCCGAGAAATGTCACTGCAATTATCCCTAGAGAATGAAGAACTTAGACGGTTGCTGAAAGTGCAGTCGTTAGGGATACGGCAGCGGTTACACCCCCCCCCCCCAAGCATGATCAGCTACAGTGACACCTTTTCAGGGGCTCTATTCTTCAAACAAAGAAAAAACAGTGTAATTTAAACGTGATGATAATGGGACCCCACAACAAGGTAATCATATTGGGTATTCAATCGGAAAGACATCATAGCATGTCAGTGCAGTGACAAGAATATAACATTTCCATGTCATAAGCTGCTGTATCCCCAGAATTGTAAGTTTTAGAAAAGGCGAATACTAAGCAATCAATGTACTTCCAGCATGAAACAGTTTCGTCAGCTACGTTTTATCGCCGAATTACTCTCCGATTTAGACTTTCTACGAAATGACCAAGTTCATGGAAGGGCTTCATACAGTTCAAAGCCTTGGCAGTGTCATGCGTCTTCCGACAGTACATACTTCCGATTATACTTCCGTCTACCAAATGCTCTCAGGGAAAGAAAAAACCCCTACATCTAGTTCGGCAACAGTTGGTTTGATATCGTAGCACTTTTAGTAGCGCAGCTTTTGAGATCGTTCGAATGAATAAAAGGGAGACCAAGCGGTCTTCAAATGCATTTAAACTGCCTGGCCGGGTGTGTACAAAGAGCACACCAGTATGTAGTCAACTGGGACTCATCAGACACTGGTAGAGTAGCTAATGTTCAGGGGTTTAAAAAACCAAATGATTGTCAGAGCTAATTACCTTAGACTTCTCTGTAACAGACTAAACAAGTGAAACACTTATCTTAGAATTTTCAATGTTAGCACCGTGCTCCGAAAGCGCAGTGACGGAAATTTAATTGTGTCATCCTTATCACCTATGGTGTGGCTATGACAACGTGCCCAACATTTGAGTGAATATTGTGTCCAGAATGGGATCGTGCAATCAGGGGCTGTCCGAATAACGTTGACTGGGCAATAAATGCGATTTCACACAGGTACTCCCGTTTCCAAATACGTGAGCTTATTTGCATTGTCAAGTGGTTGATAGACGCAATCGTTAGCGATGCCATAGGAACTGAGTCTACTCATGACCTTGGGCAAAACTATAAGGTCAGTTATCATTCAAGGTGCTGCTGTTTCCAGTTCGCAGAAACTACAAAGGTTCTTGCTAAATATACATAAGATTGCATGGGTGGCAGCAGGAATATTCGCATTTCGTTACTCGGTAAAGCGCTGAAATCGGCTCGTACTGGTTGTGGTTGTGGAGATCTAACTAGAGAATTTTGCGAGACGTTTGCTTTCCGTAACATGACAGTACGTATACGATAAAAACACAGTACATGGAGCCAAGTTAGTTAAACTCACTTAACTCAATGAAGTTGTATCCCGCTTTCATCTTAACTGATTTCTCCAAGCCAGGAAATGTCGTCGGGTGCAAAACGATGAGCTGCGCAGTCAGCTTAGACCAGGACGACAGAGAGAAAGAGAAGGGAGAAACGGACACCACTGAAATTTTCGCAGGGTTGGGCGACGCAGACGTTGGGTGGTAACTTATTGCTCGCCCCCTATCTTCCATCGAACGCGCTTCGCATTGCAACCCTTCCCATTCTGGGCACGGACTTTTCGTGTTTTGATCCACACAAGTAAACATGCATACGCACGCATACGCGCACCAAGCGTATCTTAATTCGCTCCTACCTTCACTACGTTGGTGTGACCATTGGGCTGTCTCGTTTACCACTGAGGACGTGAGTTAGAATGGCATGATACCTCGTCTCATTGGCAGATAGGCTGGACGAGTCAGTCAACCATTGCGATGTACAGCCGCGTGTGTGACCGGCCAATCATGCGAGCGAAAGGCGCTATACGCTGGCCAAGCCCCCTAACCTAGGCAACTTCTGGGCGCTTGCGGATGATTGACTTTGAGTGTGTGGCCAACTATAGGTCTTGGTTTACCAGAACGCCACCCGACTACCTGTACTCAAGATATCAGAAAACGACGAAGCCAGACTTGAAGCAGGTTACGCGGGCACACTAGACCTCAGATCTCTGCGCTTGTGATGTGGTCTGAGTGATTGGACTGACCGAGATTTCATGTAAAGTAAGACGGTCGGATTGGGTGTCAGAAGCCAAATGCACAACAAGCACTCCGGATACCTGTACTTGCTGGATTTAATCTATAGACGATTTGCAATATGACGGCAGTAAGGCTATATTCCCAAACACTTGACTCAGTTCTATAGACTATGGAATATGCCGATTTGACTGTACCATGGTTGCGGCAGTTAAACACGGTTTCGTGCTCACCTAGAATCAAGCTGAACAGGAAAAAGGCGGTGTGGTACAAAGAGCCGCCAAGTTTAGGGGGGGGGGACTGTACCAGCGCTTCGGGCGATGATTGATGCAGCACTACGGAGCTTATTGCATTAAACTGAAGGGTAAGATGAGCTTGTTTGTCAAATTTGTGACATAGATGTTGGCCGTATATTTTGAGTTACGTTTTCATTAAGCAACAACAACCATGTATTGAAATGTCCTCACCGTGCGCTAGGCAGAAGAGTGTGCAGCACAAAGTTAATCGATGCACCAGACACCAGACTGATAGCACAGAGAGCGGTCTGGCTACAGGAGCACACAATGGCTGTATGAATCATAAAATATCATTCACATAATGGGAGAAAAACAATTTCTTTGGCGTAGAACTTGGGGAAAAATACCAGCTTAAGCGGTAGAGGCCTATTTACGGCTTCGAATTCGACTTTGTGCCAACCGTGGTAATTCACATGCTAGTGGAAAGTACGTAGACGCGCTGGTCAGTTTGGAAGGCTACCTAGCAGCCATTTTCAAATCGTGAACGGAGCACGTCAAGGAAAGATAGAGCAGAGAGAGGAAGCACATTTCTCATATATTAATAAGGTTGTTGTGCTTTTGCTTGCAATATTATCGTGGAGGTGAGAAGCACTCCTTAAACCGGAGTTAAGCAAAAGTTAGTAACAAGGCATGTAAGTACAGACATTAGGTAAATAGTCGGCTACAAGCTTTTCACTGACAAATGCGTCGGCTAGCTGTGTAATCAGCACATCTAGATAGACGTAAGCAAGCAAAACTAGACTAGTTTTCACGGAAATCGATGCAGCCGATTCAAAAGAAGCGCTTCGGTCAATGGGGCGAATTTTCTCACCAAGTTTTGCCATGTTTTGTCTACTTTCAACTTCAGTATCCTGCGCATCAAGGCTGTTGCTGTCCTTACTCTATGGAGAAACAAAGTATGGGGTCTGTAAACTGGATGACACTTGATGGCACGGATCCAATTTAGCCCTAATACAAACGATGCCAGACATATTGTAAACATATTAGTGGAAGAATGAAAAAATTTAGGATTACTGGCAGTCAGTTGGATAATTGTTGGGCTTCCACCGAGTAATTTGTTCTCCTATTTGTATAAAGGGTTGGTCTTATCTTTGCACGGTAACCTGCCGCTTGTGACGGTATGTTGCCTACACAAGGTGTAGGCGCCTTAACCCTGAATGTTTGCTTAGGGCATTAAAGTTTTCAGGTAAATCCCCTTTCTCTCCCTCTGCTTGTTCTTTATTTCATAGTTCCTCATGGTTGTATGGCAACGAAGCATCAGTTCAAATGGCTGATGTACTGCTGTTGATGAGGATGATGATGACGATGATGATGATGATGATGATGACGATGATGATGATAAGATAGAGAGCCTGTAGAGTTAGCACTGAAACCAACAGGACTGGTGCCAGTTGATTGGTCACATCAAATAGGCAGCCTAGATTACCTTAAGTACGGTGTTGGGAGTTGATCAAGAGCACAAACAATCCAAAGATGTCATGGTATCTCAGAGCAAATGCATTAACACCTATTTTTCTTGTGACCGAGTCTCAGTGGAGATTAACAATAATTCCATTTCGGTCCTTGCTATCATCCATAAACTTGAATTCCTCTTATGTCAACATTGGCAGATACACTATGAAAGCGAAAATACTGCATGTTTAACCCGGTCACCTGATCTCACAATGAGGTCGA